AATAGTTCAAATTTCCTGAGCAAATGGCTTATAGGTGGTATATATACACAGCAACGTTGACAGATTTTTCTCTATCTGTATGCCTTCATAACTCTCAGTGTTAATACTTGACTTGTTTCATATTTAAATTGTCAGTTCAACTAAGTAAACACTCAGTCCATGAGCACAGTGTGGGCAGAGTAGTGGTGTCTGAGATGTGGGCCGAGGCAATTTTTCTGCTGCTGCTCTGCTTTGCTGGCCTTGGTTGCTGCGGCCGAGTCCTGGTGTAGCCTTGGGGGCTGAACCATTGTGTCAACTTAAAGACTCTTCTCAAGGAGCAAGGAATGGACAGAAGGTAACAGTTCTAATTTCTTCCTGTATCACAGCAAACATTCTCCACTGAATGTCAGTATGATCACTGCACATCATGACCAAACACACAGGAAGAATTCGGTAGCGAGTTCATAGTACCAACTTCCAATGTTACATCAATATTGTCATTTTGGAAATCAGAAAGAAAAAAATGCAAGGTTTTCTTTTTGCCATGACTGTGAAGTATGAGATTCTGTGAAAATACAGTCTACCATCAGACATTCATGAAGAAGCTCCAGGAAACCAAACAGGATGCAAAGTTTGAAGACTTTGTGGCTCTCTGTGTTAAGCTTGTGGCTAAGTTTCTTAGGTCCCATTTGTGAACAGGCTAAGGGTCACCATAAGTGACCTCAGAGGAAAATGTTTTATCGGTTTCCTGTACAACTGTCCTATGTTCCTGTTGCCATGGGAGGACTAACAAGCAGATTGACCTTCACAGAAAGGGTGTAAGGGAGAGTATATTTTGCTTTCCTTTGACTTTTGACTCCAGCAACACAACTTTCAAGTTAGGGGTCCGTTTTTCAATGAAATATTAGGGAGGAATACTTTCTTCACAACAGTGTAGAAACAAATGTGATAGCAAAAATATCTTTAATAACTAATTTGGGAAGCCACAAACAAGAATTAATTTTTCCATTATTTCTGATTCTGGTAACCAAACTCTTTTCTGATACTTGAAATATAAGAATGCTGTCAAAACACACGAAAGATACAAATGAATACCAATCTACTAAGAAAGTCCTTTTCAGGCAGATGCAGGATGCCAAATGCTTTCAGTATGTTAATTTTTTCTTTGCTTGTATAGCCAACCTCTTACTGCTGTAGTACAATGTTTGTTGTAAGAGTAAGAAAAATGCCTGTTCTAAAATTAAACTGCAACCTACTTTAAGTATGAGATTGAATTTAGTGTATATTTTATTTCAGATGAACTTCACTCCTCAAGTTTTTGAACCTCCAAACATTATTCCCAAATTTATGGTTTTATCTTGTCAGATCTGAGTACCTGTCACTTTTATGTCCCAAAAATTAGGAATGAAATTCTGATATGTGCTCTGTAGAATGTTTCATAATAACTGGTTTATCAAGAATTGCCTTGGATACTTCAGTGAAAGTAATACAGTACAGAAACCTGAAAACAAATATCAGATTCTTAAAAGACTGGGGTTACTTAAGAGATTCAAAGACAATATTTTACATCACTGATAACATTTATTCTTATTTTTAATTACTTGTTTTTTTCTAATCTATATTGATTTTGTTGCTTTATAATTTGAGAGGCAGTTTTCATCAGAACACATCACTTCCACTCCAACTCTTTGTAGGAATCATGAAGAAACATGAAAAGACAATGCTGTTTATTTAAATACTGGTTAACTTAATTCCCTGACTGTGTTAGTTTGTTAGGGCTGCTTTAACTAAATTCCATTTAGAGGGTAACTTTTAAGATTGTGTTTTCTTCCAGCTCTTGGAGTTAGAAGATTAACAGTTGTCAGGCCTGGATTCTCTGGGGACTTATTTCTGATCTCGCAGATTGCGTCCAATGTGCCTCACATGGTCATTCACACATGAGAACTTTGTTCTCTGCCTCCTCTCAGAAAGACAGCAACCATAGGGCACTAGAAATCTACCCTTTAATTAATTTAAACTCTAAATGTCTAAAGGTTTTCAACATGTATAGTTAGCCTTCAACATGTGAATTTAGGAATGTATGTCATTCCATGGCACTGGTTTTCTAATAGATACTTCTATAACTAGTGTTAAAGGAATCCCATTTTAAAAATCCTTAATTATAGACATAATTGAAACTTAGCATTACATTTATTTGATAGTGAGTATTTAGCATCCAGTAAACAGTACCCTATACTGTGCCAAGCTAGCAATATTAAGCAATTTGTATTTAAGTTAAATATGACCAGTATCTTGATTTCAGCTCTGCCTCAGAGAAAGAAAATTGTACCCACATCACTCTGAACCTTTTGTGAACTGGTTATGAGTGAAGATTTTGTGTAGCACACAAGTAGAAATCAAGTAGAAACAAATGTTATCCTAGGATAAGAAAGGAGAAAAACAGCCCCCACTGAGCAGAGGATGTACTAAGAATGACACGTTTTGATGGAGTGGGCTCTTTTTGACTATTACTCTTATGATTTAAAAAAAAATGGGAATGGATCTGTTGTGGGAAAAATCAGGCAGGGAACTGGAGTATACAGGAAGCAGATATTTTTAATTTAGGCTGCAGCCTTGTGCAGTGGGCTCAAGCCTCAAAATCTGGACCCCAAAGGGAAGTAGCACATCTTTTATACCTTGAGCATTGGGTTACAGTGAGACGGAAATATACATATTTATTGGTTATCAGTACTGTTTCAAATTTAGGTAAATTATTATAAGTTTGTAAAGAAAAATATTTTTAAAAATTCTCTGTCTCAAAATCATTGCAGAAGTCTCCATTTGAAGCAAACATAATTGAGGAAGTTTCATCAGGACACAGAAGTGGTTCCAGTTAGCTGTACCAACGTTCTAACCACAAACTTATCAGCTGATATTTGCTGAGAGACAGAGGGAGAAAATAAGGTTTTAAATCCACATTTCTCTTAATAGTCCATCAAGGTCTATATCAGATGTTTGTTTTTCAGTAAGCTATTCATTTATATTTACATTTCTATCAAATGGTTAAAATTCTGATTGCTGGTTCTGGTCCTGTCTTCTGGTTTTCAAATATCTTTGTTCTTTTTCTTGGTTGATTTTATACTACGACAAGACTGTCCTAAAATGTGATTCTTTCTATAGTGCAAACAAGACTTTAGTTTACAGTTAGTAATGCTAGATTATATCTGAAGCAGGGCATGAAACACTTAAACTGAAACATAAGAGAGTAAACATTCATGCTTCTAAATATTTCTGGACCATCAAGTCAGATTTTTAAAAGGACATTGCTTACATGGCTGCAGACCAAATGCAGGGGTCTCCAGCCTATCTGACCATGGGCCATGTTCAGGAGTCTCTAGCATACCTGATTTGGAACTAAGAACTGGAGTTTTAAGCAGGATACATGTTTCCAGAAGCAGAAACAAAGGTTGGGCAAGCAGCTGTTTTCCAAGGAGAAGCAAGGAGCTGTTTCTCAGAATAAGGCTTTTATGGCCTTTTTTTTTTTTTTTTTTTTTTTTTTTTTTGTTTCTTTTGGTTTTTTCATTCTAAATATTTTAAAAATTTTTTTCCCCAAAATTTTTTTTTTTTTTTAAATTTTTTTTTTTTTTTTTTTGTCTCTTTGTTGGAGAACATGTCTAAGCATGCACAAAGCCCTGTATTACCCAGCACCCCTAAACAGGTGTGGTATTTATAAAATTATTTGCCCAAAATTGTATATATTTGTTCAAATTTTCTTTGCTTTTTATTGGCTCCATGTTTGTAGCTGAATGTGTGTGTATGGTTTGTGTAAAGCGTGTCTGTGTGTGCACATATGTGTGAAGACTAAAGGTTGATATCAGGTGTCGTCTATAGTTTTCACCTTCTTTTTAAAGATAGGCTCTCTCACTGAAGTTGCAGCTCACTGATTTGGTTAACTAGCCAGTGAGTTCCAGGCATCCATTTAACTTTGCCTCCATTGTACTGAGATTACAGACATGCGCCACTACTTCCAGCTTTTCTTAGTGGTTGCTTGGAAGGTCTCACATTTCCTGCAAGACACTTAACTGATTGAGTCATCTACAAACTCCATTTATTGCTGCTTTAACACAGAAGTTTAATGGCTACAGTAATTGTTTCTTAAATTTAGGCACATAAAATTCACCTAAGGAGCTTGTCATCAAGGCAGGAAGAAGCAGACATCATATTAAGCATGTAAGGTACAAATACTTTGATGTGGGAGGTATGAGATGGTTCTATAGACTTTCTGGTAACTTTAAGCTCAGTATCCTTGGGCAGGGCTTCTTCATTATCTAAGTAAACGATGGCTATAGCCATCTTCTTATAAGAAGATGCTATCTATCCTGGTTACATAGCTCCACAGATTAGTAAGGAGAAGATTCTCATCAAGTTTTGCTTTTCTCAGAAGGAGAATATGTTTTCTGTGTGTAGAACTGTCTAATGTTATTATTTTAAAATAAATACCTTCTCTTGTTTAAAAGTTTCCAAAATTAATACTTGATAGCTACATCCTCCCCCTAAAAGGCTCTTAAAGGTAAGTGTAAGGAAGGTATGTGACATTGATGATCCCTACATTTTGCATGTCACATGCCTAAGTGAGTAATATTGTGAGTGAATTAAGAAAAGATAGATGGACTGAGTCTGGTGGGATCCTCTAACATAATGTTGAAGCTGAGAATATAACAAGGTGAAAAATGGAGGTTTAGTCCTGGATGGAAACTGAAAAGTCCTAAAGAAGGGGCAAGAAATCATGTGACAAAGGTAATGTATCTTCTATTTATGAGAGAGAAGAAAAAAGGATTGCTGATGTATCAGGGGTTATGGCTACATTAAAATTTTTATTGCTTTATTGTAAAAAAAGAATACTTAGGTATTACTTTTCTTTCATTATCCCCATATCTTTCTTTTCATCCTTTCTTTCTTCCCTTCTTTTAACATACAGGCAAGATAAGTGTCATCAAACATAAGTACTAGTTTCATCTCCCAATTTTATATATACTTTCCAGGAAGACCCACCACTTTGTGTGAGACTATGGGCAAAGCTGAAATTTGGCTAATGCGGACATATTGGGACTTTGAATATCCTCGTCCATACTTACCTAATTTTGAGTTTGTGGGAGGACTGCACTGCAAACCTGCCAAACCTTTACCTAAGGTAGGTGTATGATGGTGAAGATTTAAGTACATTGAATAAAAAATAAACACATTCATTTCCTTCAGTGTTTTCAGCTTTAATAACAGAGATGTGGCTGCATATCTTCAGTCTGAATGAAATTTTGTTCCTTATTCTAAGTGAGTCTTTTATGAAGCATGTGGGATCTTTTAGATTTGAGAATTTATGAAGAAGAATAAAATGACTGAGGGGTCAGGTTAACAATATCTGTGTGTCTGTAATGTGGATACTAGAGTAGAGGATGGAAAACCTGAGCCATGGGGGTCACTAAGGAGACTGCAACATCAAATGAAATAACAAAATGGATAGATTCAAACATTGTGTTAGTTATATTATTATGATGTCAGGATTATTGTGAAGTAAAAAGAAATATGTCTATCACATGCTAGAATCTCTCAAGAATAAATTCAGAATTCCAAGAGTAATTAAAAGAAAATCAGGGAGAAACAAAAGAAAATAATAGATAAAATGATAATAATGAACTTAATTATAATTAGGGAATGAGTAGACAAAATTATTTGTTTTGTAGTCTATGAAGCTTATGCTCTTTTAGAAAGTTGAAGATTAAATTGTCCTCCCAGGAGTCCTTGATTTCTGGTGCAGCTATATAAGTCATGTGTGAAATAAAATTTCATTTTAATATTCTGAATTTATTTTACTTATTCTTCAAGTTATAAATGCTGGCAAGCTTTATCAAGCATTGCTGTAAAGTAATAAATGAATCAATATCTAAATAATACACAGAAACATAAATAACATATCCACTGCTCATTAGATAATACCACATACCAGACTACTATATCCCTTCCCATATGCTCTGTGCACACACACACCCTCACAAAAATAATTTATACATAACAAGAGGAAGAAATGACTACATTCCAAACTCAGCTTATCTACTGATGTTGTCTTTGGTTGATATGAATACCAGTCAGGAGTTACAAATCTATTCTAATACACAGATTATAGAAACAATGAGACACAATCAAGTAAAAATTACAACTCAATACATTGTGCGTGTTTGCAGGGGGAACATAAATGTGTATTGTAGTGAGTAAACATCTGCTTGGGAGACGATTTCTATTAACCAGTGTCTGGGTGAGGCATAGTAGCACACACCTGAAATTCCAGCACATGTGAGTTTGAGGTAAAAGGGTGCTGCATGTGAGGCTAGCCTGAAGGACGTAGTTAGACTTGATCAAGAGAAAGCAGAACAAGTGAGTACAGTGAGACAAAAATTCTCAAAACAAGATTTTGGAAATGCTTTCTTAAAAGCAAGTTACCCAATAATCAGTGTACTTCCACTTAAGACATCAATTTTGCTCAATAAATATCTAACCAATATTTGAGAACTATAGTGATTGCAGGGTGACTAAAGGAAATACAGGGCACATCTCTTGAAGGTGGCATTCACATAGACTCTTATCTTGAAGGTCTTAGTTCAGGAATTCACAGGGCTTAATTTGCAAACTGAAAACAGAATCAAAGAATTTTATTGTGAGAGGAGTTTGTATTTTACTTCTGCTATTAAATGTAAATGAACAGAATATGTGGTTCACAGTCATGTATAATCACATGACTTCATGTGATTCAGGAAGGCAAGAACCAGTATTCATAAATGGCATTATAATCATAGCCAAAGAAGAACTATGTTATTTACTTCTAAAATATAGTATTCGTTTCAACTATTTCTATTTAGCTCTAGGATACAGGAAGGCAGAACATTAAGGAAAATAATCTTTCAGGTTTGTGTAACAGGAAGTTGGATCAATCTTCTAATAATTTTGTATGTAACGGGCATGATAATAATTTGTTTTAGTTTCTTGAGTCAGGGTCTCAATATGTAGTCCCAGCTGGCCTGGAACTCGCCGTGTAAACAGTTCCAGCTTCATCTCACAAAGATCTGCCTGTCTTTGCCTCCCTAGTTCTGGGACTAAAGGTGTATGCTGCCACACTTGGCTTATGATAGTAATAATTTTGAAAGCATATCTCTTAGGCGTCTTTCCATGTTTTCCCAAGTTTTCTAGCCACTTCATTTTCTGGGAAAGTTGAACTTTGTGAATAACAATTCTACTTACCAAGAGAGGAACTGTCCCTATTATCTGTTCCTTTTAATAATGATTTGGTGTCACATTTGTTCTTAAACTTTTTGCATCTTTCAGAAACACATTTCTCCTTATAGTTGATATCTAGCTCCAAATGTCATAGGACAAAACCAAAGGAATAATTCTCAGAAACTTCTTTTCACATTTCATACCTAAAACTGTAAGTGAACACAATTTCCCCATAAGATGGTGCACATAGGGAGAGGGCTTCGTGGTTCTGGATAGCCTGACACTTTCTACGTAGACAAGGCTGGCCTGGAACTCACAAAGGTCTTCCGGCTTCTGAAGGAGTGCTGGGACTAAAGGCATGCACCATTATGCCAGGCCTAAATTTGCACATTTTCATTGAGTGTTATTTCTGCAGGAAATGGAAGACTTTGTCCAGAGCTCGGGGGAACATGGTATTGTGGTATTTTCTCTGGGGTCAATGGTCAAAAATCTCACAGAAGAAAAGGCCAATCTCATTGCCTCAGCTCTTGCCCAGATTCCTCAGAAGGTCAGTACAAATTCTGATCCTGGCAGCAAGCAGCTTTGAGAGTCTGGAGAGAGTGCAGTTCATAGTGTTCTCCACAGGTAGAAGCTAAAACCAGTTACCTACTGAGCACAGCGGACACCAACTTTCAATAAATATTTTGAGAACATGTAAATAGTGTTTTTAGGCATGTTTGATCATTTTTAATATTATTTCATTACTATGGAGATACATAATTTTATAGCCATGTACAGTTAATAGAAGAAGAAAATATTAGGCCACTTAAATTTTATTGGTTCTTTGAAAATTTCATACAATATATTTTTGATCACCCCCTTTCCCAGCTCTTCCCAAGATCATCCCCATTGCCCTACCTGCATATCTTTAGCCCTCTTTTTCTAAGTCCATGGTTGTAATGTGTATTGCCCATATACTCCTGGGTGTCTTGCCATCCTCTGTAGCATGGTCTACCTTCCATGGCCACAATCTTAAAGAAAACTGACTTTCCTTCTCCCTATAGCTATCAGTTGCCAACAGCAACTGCCTCAGCTGGAGACAGGTCCTTAGGCCCACCTTCCCTCTTCATGCTAGGGTTTTATCAAGCTTGAGCTTGTGCAGATCTTGTGCATACTAATCATGTGGCCTGGATTGATTGCTGCTAAATACCTGGCATATGACTTACAAACATGGTCCATGAAAAGTAAGAGAATATGCAGTTTTAGAGAGAAATCATGCTTAAAACTATACTTCAACTTCTTGAATCTTATTAAAATTTTATCAAAATGTAAGAGGTTTTGTTTTAGAGGTAGAAACTGCCAGTCTATTATTCTTTCTAAACTGAATATTCTCTACTTATAAAAACAAAAATTCAAATTTTGTTTTAAACGAGTATGTATTTCTACTTTCTGATATTCAGTTTACCTTGAAGTTTATCATTATAATTCTATAATCTAATTATTGGGTATTCATGTAATACTCTAATAATATTTTTGTGCTGGCTAGAGCCCATATATGTATAAAGGTAATATGCCAATAAGAATCTTAAAAATTGGGATTTTAATTTCTAGACTTGTCACGTACAGTCTTCCACATTTAGTTACTAGAAATTTGCCTTATTACTACAAGTATGTAAAAATTGTTTAAATATCAGCAAAATACTTTTCCAAAGGTGCATTATAGGCAAACCCTATCAAGTTCTCCCTCTAAAAGAAGTGAAATGCTACAAAAACTGAAGTGAGATATAGAGATTGAGATAGACTTAAAGAGGTGGTAGAGGGAAAATTAGAAAAGAACAGGAGAAAAGGAAACAGGAAAGTGCAAAGGGGAAAGGAAGGGAGACTGTCCTCAAGTCTAAAAGTGCTGACCACCACAAGTAAAGGCGGGCTAGTTATAGTTTTGAAAATCATTGCATTAGTAAGATGAGAGCTGCGTGACTAATCATATGGAATTAATAAATGTATAAGGCATTTATGTTTGCCTTAAAGGATTAGACCCTTATGTTTGCACTTGTTAAGACAGCCCTATTTGTATTCTAGTTCACCTCTAATGGCTTTTCAGTAATAGACAGCGGTCATAATGCTGTGCTTAATAGACTAACAGCAGAAGCTGTTATGAACAGTTAGTCATAGGCAGCCCTATCATATATCTCAGTGTTTGCAACCTTATTTATAAACCCTTTCTCAAGCACTATCTAAATTATGTAGCTTATGCTTGCTCTAAATAATTCTACTCCCTCAACCACCCTTGTGTGTTTTTACCTGCAAAATCACAGCATTGTCTTCCACAGGTTTTATGGCGATACAAAGGAACAAAACCATCCATGTTAGGATCCAACACTCGGCTTTTTGATTGGATTCCCCAGAATGATCTTCTTGGTAAGACTCTAGAGCCAAAAAAGCTGTTTAGTCATGGAACAGACAACCCAAATTGCTGCTTAGCATCGAATTAGCTGAAAACATTTAATAATCTAGGTAGGCTTTTATGTTTCACCTCAAGTTTTCCTTTTTGAGTAGTATTGGGTATTTAACCTAGGAAATCATGCATACAGGGCAAGTGCTTTACCACTGAGCTGCATCCCAAGCCTTCATCTTCCAATCAAATATAATTAAATTGGTAGCCATTAATTGTATAGATTCATGTTTTCCCTGCTTCCAAAAGAATACCTTAAGGGGAGATTCTCATTAGTATTCAAGTTTCCATTAGAAGTCAGATGTCCTCACCTCAGTAATATCATCAGACAATGAAAAAGGAGATAATTTCTGCAGTGTCCTCAACTTTGAAAGAAACTGGTGTATTAATCAATATTTTGAACTTAGCATTTCATGTCTTCTACCCTGAAATTCTGACAGTGTGTTAATCTGAAGTCTACACTCACTTCTTCCTTTATCCCCCAAATAGGACATCCTAAAACCAGAGCTTTCATCACTCATGGTGGAACGAATGGGATCTATGAAGCCATTTACCATGGGATTCCTATGGTGGGAGTCCCCATGTTTGCTGATCAGCCTGATAACATCGCTCATATGAAGGCCAAAGGAGCAGCTGTGGAGGTGAACATGAACACCATGACAAGTGCAGATTTGCTCAATGCTGTGAGAGCAGTCATTAATGAACCTTCGTAAGTACTGAGTCCTGTAACAGCCTGCCTGTCCTTGGTTGTCTGTCATTCTGGAAATATTCCAATAATTCATACCTTTATGATTGTTTTATTTTCAGGTACAATGAGACTAATCTTAGCATCATTTATTTCATTTCTGACTGCTAAAGTTATTTCCTAACAGTAGAAAAAAATTGTTGGCTTTAAATATTGTCAGTCTTTTAATATATAATATCATGAATAAATTCACATAAAGTGATCATATCAAAGACTAATAAATAAGTAGTTCAGTGTTACAAATCATTCAGTAAGTATAAAATGGAAATGGTAATATGTTTATTGTTAATCACTGATAAATATCAATACTCTGTTATCAGCATTAATTTTAACAGCTATTTCTGAGTATTTTATTAATTGTCTGTATTTTATAACAATCATAATTAAGGAACTGGGTTATGGGTTAGGAGTATCAGTAATTCTTATTGTGACTTATTATTTTCCATTAAGTCTGACCTTAAAGTCTAATCAACCACATCAACAGCAAGTCTTTAATTGCTGATAATTGGAGTCATTTTTATTAAATATCAAAGTAGGAAAATTCTATAATTATTTTCAACTCAAGAACACAGAATTTTTATTAGATTTTGTGTTTCACTTTAAAACTATTCAAGAAAATGGAATTATTACTACTTTTAGAAAATGCCACTTAAATACAAAGCTACAAGTCATTTGAAAGACCGTTAAGGCTAATACTACTGAAATTATCTTAGATCAAAGGGGCATTATGGTCTTTGTATTCCATTCTCTGATTTCACAAAAAATAATAAATATGAAAAATTATGTTTATAAATTGTGATGTTTTTAATTATCTAGAGTATTTTCCCTGCCACTAATCACTACTATGAAACATGTGAAATAATAAGCATGTAAATATGATTCCTGATTTCCCTGATTCATTTATAATAATTGTTCAATTTTATTTCTATTTATCATTTTCAATCATGTACATGAAAATTTTAAATTCAAAATCTTTTATCATAGTGAAAATATTGTCCCAAAATATGCATTAGAAATCAAAAATACTTTGCCATACTACAGTTTACATAAAATTCATTGCAAGGAGCTTGTGAACCTATTATTTTTAACTAGATACAGTCCAGTATAAATCTTAAAGGTAGGTGTTTTAAATTTTATTTTTATTCATTTATATTTTTAATTAAGAAATTAAAAATGTTTTTGTTAATTTGAAAATTTCATACAATGTATTTTGATTACATTCACCTCCCTCATGTTCATCCCCACCTTATTACCCCAACTTCACATCACCTATTATTATTTGTCTTTTTAATATAAGTTTTAAAACTTCAAGGATTTCACACATGCAAACAATGTATTTTGATCATAGTCAACCCCCATTCCTCCTTCTAACTCCTTCAAGATCCACCCTTCACTTCCCCACTCACCTCATGAGTTCATGATAGTTTTTTTTAGCCCACTGAATCCAATTTGTGCTGCCCCCCCCCTCTCGATAGATGGACTATTTTCCAGCATATGTCCCCACAGCCATGGATATCAAAGTGCAAAAGATCTCAGAACTGTAAAATTATCCACTGACATTGACTTCCTACTCTCCGTAACTCTTACATGTCTGCTTAGAAATTAGTAGTCATGAATATGGATGCTTTAAATGATGTTAGTCTATATTATTGGTCTATTCACCATCTGGATCTTGTAAGTCTTAAATATTAAATTTCATTTATTGTCAAAATTCTTTCATTAGAGTTAAGGCCTTCATTCATAACTGTATATTAAAGACTTTCTAGGTCTGCATTTGAGCACATTACATTAACAAGTATGTTTTCTCCACATCTCCCACTTTGCAATTCTTCAAGTCCTATGTGACTAATGAAAGTTCAAGCAAGCATCAAACTTTTTCAACACAGAAATGAACCTTGGCTTGTGTAATGTAAAACATATATTACATACTTACCTTTAACAAAAACAAAACCTCATTTTTATTTGTGTATTTGTCTTCTAGTTACAAGGAGAATGCCATGAGACTATCGAGAATTCACCACGATCAGCCAGTGAAGCCTCTCGACCGAGCCGTCTTCTGGATTGAGTTTGTCATGCGCCACAAAGGAGCCAAGCACCTTCGGGTGGCAGCCCATGACCTCAGCTGGTTCCAGTACCACTCTCTGGATGTGATTGGGTTTCTGCTGGCCTGCACAACAGCTGCTGTATTCTTAGTAGCAAAATGTTGTTTATTTTTTTATAAAAAATTTGGCAAAACAGGAAAGAAAAAGAAGAGAGAATAGATTAAGGAAAAGAAGAAAGGTTCTTTTAGGTTTGGTGAAGTACTGAATGGGGTAGTCTTAGTAATTCCATGCATAGAGGGAAGCCAGTCACCCGTTTTTATCGTTTTCAGACATCACATTCCTCTGTCTTACCTTGAAGATACACATTAGGATTCATTGTGATCATTCAGTACTTAAGAAGAAGTCTCATCACTTCATAGTTAGCCTTACCAATTTCTTCTTATCTTCATAACAAAGGGTCAATATTAATTCTAAATATTATTTTGAAAATACTATTCAAAAAAGTAAACCAGACGATGACTAGTGGCTTTCTGAAACCTTGGGAAGGCACACAGGGTAAATGAAGTTATATTTAAGGAACTCACCAGGGTAAAATTCACAAGCCAGCATGGATCACATGATTGGAAGAAGGAACACAAGGATCAGTGTGTCATGATACAGTTAATGATCTTTTTAAATAAAAGTCAGTGAACTTCTCCAACATTTAGGCATCAGAGCATGAATTTAAAACTGTCATCATGTATCACATTAGGAAAAACATATAAAATTTCACTGAGCATATTTAGATAATCATGATCTATTTTCGGGCATTTCTACAACAAATATACTTTTGTGCCCTCTTGTGACAGGTTTTGGACACTGTGTCTAAGAAAGGAAAGGGATGAGCCATTGGTTTTTTTTTGTTGTTGTTGTTTGTTTGTGTCTCTCTGATAGGGAGTAATATATGGAAAATGAATGAATTGTTCTGAGAAACAGTAAAAATTTGAAAATATAGAAAATGTGATTTCATGAAATTTTTAAGTGAGTGCTATTGGTAGCTTTGTGAATCCATCATACTTAAAAATCATATTGTTCATAATCTATAACCACTATTTATAAGCAAAAATTTCATTTTATTCTAAAAATAAATGTTTGTGCTGAGTTCATTATATTATTTTCAAGCCTGTATTTTCTACAAAAAAAAAACTCATCAATTAACTGTAATGGTAAAGATATTTGTCTACTAGATTAATCAACATAGGGATATAGCTTTGAGCTACAGCTGAGAAACAGAGCATTTATCCAGCAATTACAGGCCCTAGCTTTGATCTCTAGCAATGTGAAAAACTGATAAA